CATGCCCGTGGCACTGCCATCGTAGGAATACAAGAGGCACGCACCAAACAAGGCAGGTATCGAAGTGAGCACTTTCACATTTTTTCAGCAGGATTCCAGGGACCCAGCCCAGTCTGCCTTGGATGTGAGCTATGGATCCATCAGTCACTCCCACTAGTGACGCTCCACAACGGTACCAAGCTCACTGCAAGTGATTTTCAGATTACCACTCAATGGGCCGATCCCAGACGGCTCGTAGTACGTTTGGAGAACAACGAGCTAGCGCTGGTGTTTGTCGTGTTGCACGCTCCCTGCCTCAGCAAGAACAAAGGCGACGGCACGCGCCCCATTGATCTATTGGACGCCTGGTGGAAAGAGACCAGCCGGCTCTTTCGTGCGCACATTAACACGGAGCTTTGTTGGGTCTTTGCAGATGCCAATGCGCCCCTTAACCAGGAATTTTCACCTTACACTGGTGAGGCAGGCGCAGAACCGCTCAACCCACAAGGGCGGCTCTTTGGACAGTTTCTCACTGAGCTCATGTTGTTTGTCCCGTCCACTTTTCATCATTTTCATGTTGGACCCAATTACACATGGACACACTCCAATGGAGCCAGATATCGCCGTGACTATATCCTTGTCCCGCAGAGGATCCATGATATTGTCATTGACTCCCATGTAATCCGTGATTTTGACACAACTTTTTGCCACGAGGACCACCTCCCGCTTTGCCTCACGATTCGCGGTCTCATCAAAAGCAAAGTTTGTGATGCAAAACCTTTTAGATGGGATGATCAAGCTTTTTTGTGCCCAGACCGGGTTCAGGCATTCAGGCAGGCATTAGCCACGTTGCCCATACCTGTTTGGAACACTTCCGTCGAAGCTCATGCAGCATGGTATGAAAAGCAGCTCTACCAATTAGGATGCCAGTTTTTTGGACAGACCAGCAAATCACGAGTGCGACCAAGACTGAGGGCATCAACCATCGATGCCATTGCCATGAAACGGCACTTCCTTGACTGTGCCCGACAATGGAAGTTAACCCATGACCAAGACTTCAAAGCACTGATGCAGCCCATTGAGCAGCAAGTGCGCAAAGAAGTACGTGAGGACATTGGTGTTCACTTTGACCAATTATTGGTGCAGTTACAGGAGTCAGGCAGCCTTGGAGACCTGCGCACAGTGTTCAAAACCCTGTTACGCCTGGGAGGCAGAAACCGAAAGAGTACTGGGACCCTCCGACCCTTGCCAATGTTGCGCAAACAGGATGGTACGCTTACCAGTACGTTCTTGGACCGTCAGCGGGTATGGATGGAGCAATTTGCAGAAATCGAGGCTGGCCAGGCCATATCGATGCCAGAACTGCAAAGTCTTGACCAGCAGCTCAGCACCCATGTAATTGACCTGCAAGAACCAGGCTCGTTTCCATCAGCCTGGGACATCCATCAAGGCCTGCGCAAACTCAAGAGAGGTAGGGCTCCAGGCCCCAACGGCCTGCCCCCAGCCCTCCTCAAAGCCGGCGGTGAAGTCTTTGTTCGACAATTCCTCACCCTTGTGACGAAATGTGCAGCTCACTCACATGAGCCGCTCTCATGGAAGGGGGGGCGATTGTTTCCTCTACACAAAGGGAAGCTGCACCCCTCGGACCCACTGGGGTACAGATCTATTTTTGTATCAGACTTTACTGCCAAACTATATCACATGACCCTACGCAAGCCTCTGGAGCAAGCATGGCACCAATCGATCCACTCGTTGCAAATGGGTGGCCGCAAGGGCCAAGGCACAGATATGGCACACCATGTGCTTCAAACCTTTTGGCACTGGACCACCAAGAAGCGATCCCCTGCCGCAGTGGTTTTCTTTGATGTTCGTGCTGCTTTTTACAGTGTGATCCGGGAGGCCCTGTTTCCTGGTGACGGCAATGTGCAGGAGCTCCACCAGCTCCTCACTACCCTGGGTATTCAAGAAGAAATTGCCAAAGACATTGCCTCCAGTGTTGACCAAGATTTTGCTCTGCAGGGTGTCACACCACACATGCTTGCCATTCTAAAAGATGCCATGCTCAACACACATTTTTTCGTCGAAGGGATCCCGCAGCCCTGTCGCACCAGACGAGGGACAAGACCCGGTGACCCCATTGGAGACATTCTTTTTAATATGGTCATGTCATGTTTGCTTCGAGACGCCAAGAGTGAATTTCAGCAACGCGCCAGCATGCCTTGGTACGGTGGACATGGTCTTTGCACTGACTACACGGCCACCCACCCGATACCTTCATCCGGCTGCTTTGACATTTCCTTTGTAGATGACTGTGCATTTGGCATCCATGGCAAATCCATTTCACAAGTTGAGGAAGGCATAAAGGCACTGATTGAAGCCATGACGGCTGCTTCCAAACGCCGTGGCCTGACCATCAACTTTGAACAAGGCAAGACAGAGGTGTTGTTTAATGTGGTTGGCAAGGGCTCCAAAGAAAAGAAGGCGCAGTTTGCTGACGACCACTCTCAGATGCAATGGCACACCTCTGATGGCTCATTTTCTGTGCGACTCACACACGCATACAGACACCTTGGGACATGGCTGCAGTCCGGAAACAACCATGGCAAAGAGATCCAACAACGCAGCTCGCTGGCCAGATCGACATGGGGGGTATTAGCGCGTGCTTTTTACAATAAGCCATATGTTTCCTTGCAAGCTAAGACCAAGGTCTTTCAGTCCACAGCTCTTAGCCAGTTTATGTACAATGCTCATGTTTGGACGGGGGTGGCACAAAAGGAATGGGACAAATGGCACAATGCCCTGCGTAAACCATGCTGTCTTATGATTCGGAGCAAGCTCAGAGGAGCTAATCCTCTGCACCTTGACATGGATGCTGTGTCAGCTCTCGCAGGACTACTGCCCCCCAAGCACGCCTTGCAGGCTGCCAGGCTGCGCTATCTGAAAAGGATCACCACGGCCTGCCCACAAATCCTGTGGGATTTGCTCATGGCTGACGCCCCCTCAGAGCATTCTTGGGTTGCAGGATGTCAAGAAGCCTTTCGCTGGTTCCGATCCCATTATGATGTTGAATTTGCCCCGCACTCCGATGAATTGCATGTCTGGTTGCCCATCATCGCATTGGACACGTCATGGAAAGGACGCATCAGGCGAGCTATGCATTCATGCCTTCAGTATTGCGTTGCCACGGCTGAAAGGCAAGTATTCCAGCTCCGTTTTTGCAAAGCCTTTGAAGCCAGTGGAGGGATCTTGCCTGTCACATCCCAGCCGGTGCAGGACAAATGGCAATGTGACCTCTGCAGCCGTTGCTTTCCCTCCAAACGGGGACTGGCTTCCCATGCAGCCAGAGTGCACGGTTACAAAAGGATAGAACGCTACTATGCCACCCACGCTACTTGCGACGCATGTGGCAAGTACTACCATGCCCGAGCACGCCTGCTCATGCACCTCTACGACTGCCCTGAATGCCTCCGCACCCTACAAGCATGTTTCCCGCCGGCAACAGAAGCAGAGGTGGAAAGCCTCGATGCAGACGGTAAGCAATATGCTTGTGACATGCGACTGCAGGGTTGGTGGAAAACAAAAGCATTCCTGCCGCCATTGAAGATATATGGTCCCTTGCTCCCCCCTCCAGACTCCCCCGATGCTGTAGCATTCAAGACCAAATGGAATGCGAGGAAACTGACCCCCGGCAAGGCCTTCCAGGAATTTCAGGGACGGTGTGCCAAGGCAGATCCACCTGACAACCCGCAGGTCCACTTGTTTGCCGACGACTTTCCAGCATTTGTCATGCACTCGCCTCCTGGCCCAAACCCAGGCGGGGGTGCCTATGCCCAGCAAGGCCTTGCGCGTGAGACTGCACGTCTGCACATTAAATGGCTTGTCTTCGTGCACTACTTCAGTGGATATCGCCGAGACCAGGATTTGCACCAAGTCATCGAAGACACTCCACTTGAAGGTGGCACACATGTGATGGTGATCTCAGTCGACATGTGTATGCAAAAGAAGGACGGCAATTTAGCCACAGACACAGCCACTGCATGGTGGATTGACCGCATCCGTGCGGGTCAGATCATTGGAGCGGGTGGCGGCCCGCCTTGCGAGACGTATACCGCTGCAAGGTTCCTGCCCAATGGACCCAGACCATTACGCACGGGCAGCCATCCGGACGGTCTCCCTGCATTGACCGCCAAAGAATGGATGCAATTGCGCATTGGCTCCAGACTTGTTTTCTTCATTTTTGAAATTTTGCTGGAACTTGCCAAATATGGAGGCTGTGGCTTTGCCGAACATCCCCAATGGCCGCTTTGGGCCACCCGATTCGACCCAGCCAGCATATGGGCTACACGCCAAGCCAGCCTGTGCCGAACGCTGAATTGCTTCAGCATTATCAGCTTTGACCAATGCGTGGTTGGCTCACCAGCAAAAAAACCAACAACAATTTTGCTCTTGCGACTTGACAGCTTTCGCCATGAGCTGCTCCGCACAGGACTTGGAGGACGTTGCCACCATGGTCGAGGCACTCATGAGCAGCTTCAAGGACGAAATGACCAGGGCGAATTTCGCACTGCTGTCGGGAAGATCTACCCCGTAGGTCTTAATCAAGCTCTAGGTAGAGCAGTGTGCCGCTATGCCGTCGATACCTTCGACCTCAAGCTTTTGCACAAAGACCTCCCTATCGAGCTGTCGTGTTTCCAGCAGCAAGTTTTCGAGGACCAAGCTGTTGTACAGCCCGATTACCACGGGGTAGCTGTCTAGGTCCTTGTACAGGCTGGATGTCTCTGCATGCGACCAAGTGCCAAATGGCACAGCAACCGCAAAGTGACAAAAGTGTCATCCTTCCCATTGACGAAGTCCATCATTTTTCAAGATGGGCACATTGCACCACCAACCAGTCTGTAGTAACTAGTTTATAGTAACTATATATCACCATAGTAACTATACAAACTATAGTAGCTATATAAGCCAACCAGTTCATGAACTGGGCAGAACCCTGAATTGGGTGAACCAACCATCCCGACCAGGACTGGGCAGCACATGCAGGTCGCATGGAGCTCCTTGGTGCGCGAAGAAGCAAGAGGGGTGCCTCTTGGCGGTCCACAAATTCAGTCAATGGGATTCATATGATAGATGTGGTATATGAATGTACCCTCTGGTTATTCAACATAGCCATGGAAAATGGCCCATTTATAGATGGTTTACCTATTAAAAATGGTGATGTTCCATGCCTATGTAAAATAACCAGATGGTATCTGATATACGGACATGTTAATGGACTCTAGATCATCATATTAATCATATATATATATACTATCTGGTTGGTGCTTTGGAACATGAACTTTATGACTTTCCATTCAGTTGGGAATGTCATCATCCCAACTGACGAACTCATATTTTTCAAAGGGTAGGTATACCACCATCCAGTAATATGATTTTTACGAGATTATGGAAGAGGATTTTTCTCATCAATGGGATTATAAGATATTATAAGCCCAATTTGGGAAATAATTTGGACCATGATTTGTCTATGGAATTTATCAATGTTTGTGTTCCATGTTGAATTTGGGCAATGCAATATTGAAGCATGCAGCGTGGGGGTCTAATTATTTCAACATATTTTAACAAATTGCCAAAAAGCAGTAGCCTCTGGTAAACAAACATAGCTATTGAACATGGCCCAGTCGAAATAGTTGATGATGTTGATTTATCCATGAAAAACGGTGATTTTTCAATCGTTTTTTATATGTTTGCCAGAGGGTTAATCACTGCGGGGAATGCACCAGTTGCAGCGCTCCAGAGTTCTGATCCAGAGCCATGTCTTTGTAGTCACCGTTGTTAGGGTTGACATGTGTAGGATTGGCTTGTCCCTTAAGGTATCAGCCGACTCATGTTTTGGTTGGTGTCATCTATTTATATATATTATATATTTATACACATATATATATATATATTATTTATATATTTATATATGTATATACATATGTATATATATATATATATATACGTGTCCAAACCTAGGCCATAGCTACTTTCGAAGATGGTTCCTTTCGGCATTTTGTTTTAAGGAATTGATTGAAACCACCAACCAAGTAAGAACGGGATAGTCCGGAAGTGATTTCCTTTCTGATGCTGTTGACGATGTTGCAAAGTCAACCTTGGCTTAATAAACTATGTTCATTGATTGCGGGATAACCACCAAAAAAGTGGTAATTAAATTAATGTTTTTGTTGCTTGGTACTCTCCACTATAGGTTTTATGTGGGGACTTTATTACTCCTGGGTTGACATAAAACGTATGATCCAGTCCTTCGGTGTGGATAGATGTTCTGAGCATTTCTGAACATTTGGTTAACATGTATCATGTACCCAATAAAATGGGGCTGCAAAAATAAAAGCTCAAGATGATGTCACTATCTACATAGACTTTGGTGATTTAGAGGGATATTTCTTCGGTGTCAGGGCGGCATGCCGCTGTAACAGGGTTGGTGTTGCAAAATATGCAAGTGTTCTATCATTCATTGAAATGATAAAAAATCTCGCTGACTTTTAGAATCTTGACCAAACCAGTATAAATGGCTCTCTCAAAGCAGTAGTATACAGGGGCCAGACTCTCCACTCATGAAACGTACCCTCTGGTAAACTGTTACATAACTATGGAAAATCACCATTTATAATGGGAAAATCCACTATTTCTACGGTCATTTTCAATAGCTATTTTGACATAACCAGAGGGTATGTGATATGTTGTCATCAAAGACGGCTTAAAAATACCGCCAGATAATCGATGCTACCTCTTGAACTGCCGAAGCCAACATCCATGACTGGAGGTTTCCAATCCATGGGGCTAGCCCCTTAAATCATCCATTTATAGATGGATTTTAGAGCATAAATTTGGCATAAATCATCAATGTTCTGGATTTTCATAGGATTTTAGATTATAAACCATCAATTTTCGGGTAAATCATCCATTTTAATAGGATTTTAGAGTATAAATCATCCAAACCATCCATTTTCTGGTACTTCTTTTGCTTAGGAAACCTTCTCTGATCGCCCAGGCAGAAGTTGGCAGAGCTGGGGATTTCGGCCGCCGTGGCAGATGATGGCGAAACAGCCGCGCTGTTTGAAAAGCGGAAGACGGAGCGATCTTGGAGAAGTTTGTATATAACACTTATATTATATATATATATATGTATATATGTATGTATATATATATGTATATACATATATATATATATATATATATATGTATGTATATGTGTGTATATATATATATTATAACACAAAACAAGTGGATAATGTGGTATTCACCAATTTCATGCTCTATTTTCAATAAATTACCGGGACTTTGCACCTGACCCACATGGATTGGCCATGAATACCATGGGTCACGGTTGCGAAATCCTGCACCAGTTGGTAACTAGCTGGTATTTCACGGTATAACCATGAAACACTGTGAATAATGGGATTCTGATTGGTGGTTTGGAACATGACTTTTATGACTTTCCATTCAGTTGGGAATAATCATTCCATCTGACTTTCATATTTTTCAGAGGGGTAGGTCAACCACCAACCAGGATTTTTTTTCCAATGGGATTTCTTTTCCATCTACCAGCCGGTGCAGGATTTCGCAACCATTCACAGTGCTTCAAATACCTTGAATGAATGATTGGTAATGGAGAATTCCACTACCTGGGTTATTGAGGATTCTGATAACCCATAGGGAAACCTATCAGCCGTTGATAGTATAATGAGATGTGGATGTGGGTCAAAATGGAAGACCTAGGGGACCACAGATGTTAGTCTAGTTTAGTATTAACCATCCAATTATTGGTACCCAATTTTGACCCATACCCATGTGATAGGGATTTGTTTAATGGCTCTAATATTGGGTGTGTCTGAACATAGGGATGCCCCTCCTTGTTTTTGAAATCTGCTGCAAGTTGTTGCATTTGTTTTGTAGAGCAAATGATCTGTAATCGTCTAATACCTCGATCATGTCGCACTTGCAGCACCATCATTTTCTCCCCACGAAAACCAATTTTGAGCCCCAAGTGCATCATTTGTTTTATAAAGATATTCCAGTCGTATTATGTTATATATATATATTGCTTTGTTATTTCATATGTCAGGATTTTTCATGTTGTATGTTGGTGATATCCTGGTGAGTGGTTTCAAACATTGTTTATTTTCCATTTCATATATGGGATCATCCGAAACCCATTGACGAAGTCCATCATTTTTCAAGATGGTTAGTTTACCACCAACCAGTGTCTCAAATGCAACAAGTTTTCCATGTCACACCACGTCCTGCTTTTTTCGTAAAAGCTCCCAATGTTTTCACCGCCCCCGCAGATGCCGGACCAGTACTTCCGTGACGGCACACAGGAGAATCGCGAGCAGGTGGGCCATGGGCCATGGACCAAGGCTTCCGGCTGGTCGCCTTCAAAAAGGGGTGACATCCGGGAAGTCTCAAGATTTTGGAGCATCAAATCATATCAAATACCTATAGGTTTCCAACTATTCATCACTCATAACATGGTCTCTTCATGTTTGTTCCATATGCAGGTGTGTTATTTTGGCCGTTGAGGACTTCGTTCTTTTGGGATTTTGCGCCTGAAAGACATGGCTTTTTGGATGCCACAGGTGGGCCAGGCCACTAAAAACTCCTCCCCACCAGGCCATGAAGAAAGAGAAGCGAAAAGCGAAGGAAAAGGGTCACTTCTCCTGGTGGATGTGGATTTTGTCAATGGATTGGAGTTTAAGGGAAAATTTTTAACCGGAAAACCCCATATTTAATGGGAAAATCGATGGTTTCCTGTTTCGATTTTCCCTTAAACCAATCCATTGATTTTGGGGAATCGATGTCAGCCATGGGTGAACTATGGAAATGCCATGAAGATTGCCATGAAATACCTCCAAAAAAAAGGATGCCGAAAAGTGTGAAACCAGGAGAGTTCGATGAGATTTAATACTGAAATATCATGCGATCCTACTTTTCGATGTATTTTTGGAGTTGCTATAATATGATGATTGTTTGATATGCATTGTAATCAATAATGATGATAAATTTAATCAGCGATCATGGGAATATATGGGGATATTCGTCGTCAACGGGTTTGTCCAGAAATGGAGTTATGAATCAAGCATTTTAATGGGGAGAGAATTGCATTTCGTTTGATCAACAATATAGTTCAATCCAATGTATATATATAATTATAATTATAATTATAATTCTATAACATATCTGTCTATATATATATATAATTATAATTATAATTATGTATATATATATACACATTGGCAATGTGGGTTACCATATTTTCAGACAAACCCAGTAGCAACAAGTGCTGGTTGATATTTGCCACAAAGGGGGAGGTGCAACCAATCAACATTTGAAAAGGGTCTTAATAGGCAATGGACACGGCCGTATAACCAGTGATTTGGAAAGTTGGAAAGTTAGAAATCGGGTATAGGTTATACCATGTTATACCACCATATTCATTTGGTTCTGTTTGGTTATGTAATGTTAATTGCTTATTAATTCACGCGTTTTATTTCTGGAGGATAAATCATACCCCCGAAGCACTTGACACGATTTTACTATGATAGACCGGCACCGACCACCTGTTTTCAAATTGAGCTGAATACCATGTCCAGGTCCATTCGGAATCCCTTCCCAACAATAACGGGCCGACAATGCCTAAGCCAAGCTTGTTAAAAGGGTGTTTGTCATAGTTTCTCATTGTCTAAAGCTATGGGATATTGAGTGGCCTGTTCCATACTGTTCCCCTTCCTTGACGTGCATAATGAGCAAGGAATGCGTTTCGGCGGTGGCTGAAATCGTTCACAAAGGATGGGAGGTACGTGTGCTTCATAGATGTATTGGCCCTTCGACATTCTGCATACGAATATGTGTAATATATGTGTAATATATCCTCTTTACGGTTAGGAATTCCATGATCGAAACAAGCTTGGCCATGAAAACATAGATTTCTACAGGGTTTTGTCCAAAAATTTGGTATACCATGGTATACCGTAGAATCCATTGGTCAATCATCATTCTTCATCATTGTGACTGCCAGATATGGAGCTAAAAATCACCATTTTAAGATATTTTAAGACACATCACTTAGTTCAATCATATTGTTCACTAACCACATCCCATTATATCCCCGCATTTTCTGGTTAGTTCACATCCCTCATTCTTGTTGGTTTAAGCGGCGCTGAGGTCTAGAAGATTGGCAAATGAGGTGCCAGGGTTCGCGGCAGCATCAACTGTCGGGTGGTGAAGGGCCCGACCAAATGCATCGTACCGAAAAAACACATGGGATTTGCAGTGATTTAGCCAGTGCCAAGAAAATGATGGAGAAACGGCAGAAAGTGGTATGTTCACCCAGTTCAAGGACCAAACCATGTTGTTTTCGACAAAAGGTGTGCTACCCAGAAGCTGAACCATGGTACCTGGACTTTGAGCCGTGGAGTTATTCAACGATTTCAAGTGGTTCATCGGCCAATTTCCATCCAATTTCCCCACTGTTTTTGATTGGCTACTTCGTTGCTCAGATGATTTTCCCTATTCAACATGTTGGGATAGATATTTCCCTATTCAACATGTTCCCGATTCCCTATATTCAACATTTTGGGATTATTTTTGTTCCTATATGATGTTTCCCAATTTCCATCAACTTTGGGATAGGCCGTACCCCTCCGTTTTTTTTTCGCTCGCACTGTGAGGTAATTTGCTGAGCGAAGAGCGAAGATTCGGGATCCTTTCTGCATGGGACTCCCTGGGGGTTCACGATCCCCGGAGATGGAAAACCATGTGGAGAGCTGGAAAACCATAGGAAAACCATAGGAAAATGGTGGTTTAATGGGATTTAATGGGATATAGCCTCTGGTAATGACTGTTACAGTTTGCGAACTGGAAAATGGCCCAGTCGAAATAGTTGATCTACCCAGCTATAACATGGTGATTTTCAATAGTTATGCAACAGTTTACCAGAGGGTACCTATAACTTTTCAAACTTTTGATGTCACATATGGTGTGGCTCATTTTTTATTAAGCCAAAGCCTCGTTGACTACATTGATACATGGTTGATTGGGTTTCAACAAGGAACAAAAGGTTTCAACAGTACTATAGGGAATATGCCGAAGCAACACTATAGGGAATAGGCCGCTATTTTCAGCGCCTTAAAATCCCTCATTTATGGAGTTACCGATGAATCGTGGGTTTCCATGGATATTCCAGTCATGTTTGATTTCTTTGCTGTCAACGTTGCCCGTGTCCCATGCGCAACCCCTGCCGTTGGGATTGTAGGCGTGAACCTTGGCAGCTTGTGGTCTTTGGTCATCTCGCGATTGCTAATATGCAATATATGGGGGGTTTCCATAGTCATGGGGGGTACTGTACCCCAAAATGGATTTATAAGGGAAAATCTTATTACCCTCTGGTAAACTAACATAACTAGTGAAAATGGCCCATTTATAGTTGATTTACCCATTAACAATGGTGATTTTCCATAGTTATGCTAGTTTATCAGAGGGTAAAATGGATGATTTAGGGTACCCCCATTTATGGAACCCCCCAGTCATGGGAGTCATTTTTGGGTAGCCCCAAAAATCGTTATGATTTTCCAAACATCCAGCGTTTTTGGGGTACCGCCATGACTTTTGAAACCACCAATATATTAAGCGTTGAGCGATATTGGATAATTGCTGGCTGGTGGTTTTAGAACATGTTTATCTTTTTCCATATATGCGGAATTTCATCATCCCAACTGACGAACTCATATTTTTCAGAGGGATTGAAACCACCATCAGATTGGATATGCACCAACATGTACAGACTGTGACATGCAGAGGAGTCAGAGATGCGGGGAACTGAGGAACTGGGTTTATGAATGTCAACTTAGGTTTGATAGCTGGCTATTACACAAAAAAACAAAAAGTAATGCTCGAAACTGTCGATGTTTTAGAAGCCAAGACTTCCGGGTTGCCAATATAGATGGTCCAGGATTCAAAATGTAGTACACCCGGCAAGAAACAATCTCCAGTGTTACCAGAAATGGTTGGTTAAAACGAACCTATCATTACTCGTAGGTTTGTGTCATTGGCTTTACCCCCCCAGAGTTGACATGGAACCTAAATTAGCCAATTGGAACAGGAGAATAATCTTCCAGCCCCCAGACCGAAAGATTGGGTGGCTACTCCTGGTGCTTGGCAAAGCTTGGTTGAGTAGGTTGGTATAGGAAATAACTGGGCATCCCTATAGCAACTAACATCTAGAAAAGTCGTTCTTCAGAAGGAAAATCATCCATATAGAAATGGGGTTTGCTTGTACATAGATACTATATACAAATATATCTATATATGGTATCTTCCATAGCCAGCTTGGGTTCCCACAAAGTACTAGATTGTTCGGGAGATCAGCGAGGTGGCTTATTTTGGTTCACGACTCCCCGCGATTCCGCGACGCGGAGAGAAAAGGTGCAGAATGGCCCGCAGGGGCGTAGGACATCGGAGGGTGTCGACCGACTCAAGCGCGCCGCTTGAGGCAAAAAGTCAATCACGATGTGGAGGAAGGGCGTGTCAGTGTTTTTGCATGGAGAACCATGTCATCACGGCTGATTTATGTGGATTTTGTCGGGGTTAACATGGTTTGTCCATCATTATAAAATTGAAACCAGCAATGGAAATGAGGCTGTATCTGATTGGTGGTTTGGAACATGTTTTATTTTTCCATTCAGTTGGGAATGTCATCATCCCAACTGACGAGCTAACTCCATCATTTTTCAGGTTGGGGTAGGGCTCAACCATGGTATACCACCAATCAGATATGGGTATGGATCAATACCTATGAAAATACCATTTTTAGGGGGTTATTCACATCCATTTACCCCATAAATCCCAGCTATAACTTGATGTGAACAGAAGGGGTACTATTGGTTTTGACGTCCACTGCCATATGGTCGAAGGTGGAAAACTGTACCGCGGCACCAAAAGGTAAAGCATGGTTCCATGCTGGCGCCTTGAGAGTTCATCCAGTTGGACTGGTGGTCTCTGGACGGTGACACAAGGTGATTACCCATTGGTTTAGTATGGGGTAATGATGGTTAATAATGGTTAAGAATGGTTAATAATCACTGGTTGCTGGTTTCAAACATGTTGAACATTTTCCATTTCATATATGGGATGTCATCCGAAACCGAAAAAATATGTTTCAGAGGAATTGAAACCACCAACCAGGTTTGCTCAGTTGGTGCAATGAATAGTATGCTCACGGTTAACTAGATAGACTAGGGCTGTAGATGTATCGAACTAGTTAGGTGGACGGTTGACTTTTAAAGCAACTTCTAGCTACGGGGGGCACCACCTTGCACAACATCTTGCTACAGTCAGCCGCTCCGCTTCACGGAATCACCACGGGTCCTCCAGCTGCTGGATGTTGATCTCAAAAATACTTGGCTATCAGAGCCAGGCTCAAGCCTTGCATCCATCAAGGAAACATCAGAAAACACATCAGGAACTCCAAGATGCCAAGGACATCCAAGGACTGCATCAATTCTGTTACAGACATCCATGTTACAGGAAGGGCGCTTGAAAGAATCGCTAAATTGGTTTTTCAGCATGCTGAGACCTAGGATACGTAGGCAAACTATTGTTCATGGGGATTATATGGGGTTATAATATGTTTTAATTATAGTCAACTAAACATTACTAAACCAACTTGTATACTCTAAAACAACGAATATTGTGACGGACCTGTCCAACCGTCCAAGGGCTACAAAGACGAGCTCACCACGAAAAGACATTGGCCGCAGTACCTTTGGGTCAACCTTGGATATTTTCGTTGTTTTTTTTACCCTCTGGTAATTTAACATAACTATGGAAAATCACCATTTTTAATGGGAAAATCCACTATAAATGGCTATTTTCAATAGCTATGTTAAATTACCAGAGGGTAATCTGTTCGGTACAAAAGTACCCAGGTTGGTGTTTTTTTTCCGATTATTGGAAATAATAATCCCAACTGACGTTCATATTTTTCAGAGGGGTAGGTCAACCACCAACCAGTACAGATATCGTATGAACTAAACATCTTAAAGATCTACTTGTTTTCGCAGAGTATCTAATTCGAGTACCTGGCCGACTGGCCGAAAATCGTGGGATTTTTTTTTAGGACTTCACCAGACGTTCCTTAAGTCGAGTTGGACCTGCACATCCATGGCCCTTTCTGTCTGGGCCCACAGCATGGCAGCATGGAGCCCTGACATGCCCTGACCACGTAGACGATGATTCCGGTTAGAGGATGATCCATGTCCCAGAGATGTCCCTTAAATTCCCATTGGTTGATGAAACAAGAATAAAAAAGAGGGGTTTTTGAGCAAAGCACTTTGACAAAAATGATGATAGATGATGACAGATGGATATAGATGGTATACCAGCTCCTGGCCCAAACCGATTTTTTTACCAAAAGGACATTATTGTTTCCCCCTGAAATTGACATAAATTGACCATAAATTCATGTTCAATCCACCTTTCCTGGACGGAATTATCATTTTTTGGGGCATTTATTCCATACTTTAGTGTAAGAATTCCCGCAACGTGGTAATTGGTTCACATCTTCCATCTCTGGACAAATTCACATACGTAAAGCTGGAGAATCTAGAGACATGGGCTATACAAAGCGCACACACACTCTATGGTGGAATTCCTGGTTGCTTCCTGACCCCTACATTTCGGAGGATGACCTGGATAAAGACGGACCATGACCAAGTTCACCCCCCTGTGGACATAGCTTACTTACAATTAGCGCGACGGTTGCGATGACCTTAAGATGGGTCTCCAAGTGTTTATTCTTGTGGTGTCCAAATGTACGCAATGTACCCTCTGGTAATTTAACATAGCTATTGAAAATAGCCATTTATAGTGGATTTTCCCATTAAAAATGGTGATTTTCCATAGTTATGTTAAATTACCAGAGGGTACGTAATGTGGAGATGTCGAAATCGATGACCCCTAAACACCGTAAACACTTGCAGATGTTTTTGTTTGTCAGATCTTATCATGTGTTCGCGTCGGCGAAGCGCATCTTCACCATTTCACCACCATCCACTTTTGCGCAAGCTCTTCCCTATATCTTTTGTGCTTTGAAGATGTCAAACCATCCAACCCTTGGGTGCATGTGATATTCAAATGAAGACTTTAACCCCTCGACTGTCGCCTGGACTGTCATGCCGGATCCGGCTCAGAGTTTTCCAGGGACATGCCGGACATGTAGTTGAGATATGTTGAGATGAAGTCGGCATTTGAGGATTTTTACAAAGACATCCTAAGATAGGCATTATGTCCATTACCCTCTGGCAAACTAACATAGCTATGGAAAGTCACCATATTTTGAATGATTTTAATGGGTAAATCAACTATTTCTATGGCCATGTTCAGTAGCAAACTGTTAAATTACCAGAGGGTGAGTCATAAAAAACCAGATTCATTTAGATACTTCAACACCATTGGTTCATCTAATGTCAGTGGTTCATCCAATCACTACCCCACCAGCCATGAAAGTTTCCACCTCATGTTTTTGGACAACGGTATGTTTACCCGAATCTACCCCAATTTCGTCCGATTTTGCTGACCATGCACTTCTTGATTTTAGGCATCATTCCCAATTTCCAACACATCTCCCAGCCAAGAGCTATAAATCGAATGCTAGGATGGATCGTGACGACATTTTTTGGAGAGCAGTGTGGTCATGATTTCAAAAAAGCTGCCAGGTAGATCATGTAGCAACATTTACTAAGAGTTCTCCAACCATGAACCATTTGCCGACCCATACCATTGACGAACCGTTTATGTACCAACATTTACTTTAATCTTCTCATGCATCATCAACACATTGCTGAGGGGATCATCTCCGTACCGCAACCGAGCCGCTCCACGCTGGCGATTCCCATGGGCAGCGAGCTCTTACTCGAAGCCGTGCGAGCCTTCTTGCGGCGACGCCTGAGGCGGGAATTTTCTATGGAGCTGTGACCTGATTTCAGCAAGCTTCAGGTTAGTGAAGTATAATTCAGCCATATATCAATATATATCATAAGTATATATATAATTAAGTATATGAATTGTATATGATATGTATATATCTGTATAATATTGTTTAAAATCCAACTGTTGACTGCAGGATGGGAGCCAATGTGCGGGATTTTTCAAAGCATGATGACTGCCACTGCTTAGATCTAGCCAATTCTGTTTGTCGTATGGTGGCTCCAAATACTTCAAATAAGTGTGCAGAATGGTTTGTCGTTTAATCTGTCATGTCCACTCAATTTCAATCAAAATCATTTCAATTTTCAGGTGAAACACGGATTTTCATGGAAACTGTGTAGCAGTAGATTTTCGGAAATGGGGTTTCTTAATGGGGGTTCCCTTAAGTCACAAGTCGGTTTCAATACGAGTCGTCATGGTTATCCAATGAGTCGGATGATTTGGGGCCCTATGACTTAGGAAACCTCCATTGAATCCATTTGATTTTGTTATAGAAAATGACCATTTATAGTGGATTTGCCCATTGAAAATGATGATGTTCCATAGTTATGTTAGTTTACCAGAGGGTAATCTAGATATATGTTCTGGTTGGGGGTGACTGGAACCATGGATTTTTGAATGACTTTCCCATCATATTGGGAATAATATGTCATCCCAACTGACTTTCACTCCATGATTTTTCGGAGGGGTAGGTATACCACCAACCAGGTTACCATCTGGTAAACTAGCATAACTATGGAAAATCACAATTTTTTAATGGGAATATCCACTATAAATCACAATTTTCAATAACTATGTAGCAAATTATCAGAGGGTAAGTCATAAAAAACAGATTCAGATACTTTAACACAAAATTGCTTCATCCAATGTCAGTGGCCAGCCTAGCCTCACTTCCCCACCAGCCATGGGGCCATGATCGGGATCCCTTGGGTCAAACCAGGCGTCGCCTCTGCAAGGGCCACAGCTGGACGGGGGGAACGCTGGGATTCATCGTGGCCGACTGTGCTTTTGTTTCGGAGCGGAGGGAGTTTCGGTCGCCGGGAAATTTCTCGAAGGTGAATGGAGATGGATTTTGGGGGGAAATTCAGCTATGAATATGGAACGATATGGATGACTTTTCTGGTTTTTCATATTATTATTATTAATTATTATTATTCATATTATTATTATTAATTATTATTATTCATATTATTATTATTATTATTAATTATTATTATTATATATTATTATTCACATCCATTTTGTTCCATACTATTCCATTTAATTCCATTCCATATTGGATGCCCATGTTCATTCACTCACATGCGAATGTATCAAGACCACTTTAGGGCTGCTTTTTAGGAGCCGTACGCATGGATGGTCTATGCCTTGGCGTCCTTCCTAGACGATGCCCCGCGGTCCACAAGATCGACACCGCGGTCCGCCCCAAAAATGGGCAACTGGATCACACAGGTGCGGGAAATTGAAAAACCAGTTGCCCAGATGCGAACCATGGTACCAACATATCCAACATTTACCCCATAAATGAGCCCTTGTCCATAGCTATGTTAAGTAACCAGAGGATGGGATTATCGACAATGGCCATGGATTATATATATATATATATCCCAGATGCGAACCATGGTGCTAGTATATTTACCTACTTAAAACTGGCTCATAAAAATGGGGTAATTGATGTTGGGATTCATATTCCAGCACCTTTTTGAGCATATGGATATGTGGATCAAAAATGGATGATGTGAACTTGTGAACTCCATATTTCCAGGGATCTACTGGGATACGTGCATGGATGATGATCATATTCTTATAATTGTAGATCTTCAGATTTTTAGGGTCAGTCGACGAGGAATCCAGGAAACATCGCAGATTTTCATAGTGATCACCTCTGCTGATTGGATCCAGCGAGTTTTCGAGTCGTTTTCGTGGTGACATTCTTGCAATGCAACTCGATCCAATATTGGGAACACAAGTTGAAAAAAACATTATACATCATTACGTATACCTCATTAAAAAAGCAACATGTTGATATAGGTCATAGGTCAAAAGCCTTGACCCCCAAAAAAATGGATAGGCATCCGCGCCATACTTGTGATTCTGATTTTGGAATTTCAGACCGGACAATAATAGATGGATTTGATGGGGTCCGTTTTGTCATGGCGGTTCCCGGCCATTCCCTTAGATTTTTGCTTTTTGGGGGACACTAGTAATTTTATACATAAAACCACTAGAAGGCAAACTTTTGAGCTGGGAACAACCCAATTGTGAAGAACCATCCCGTATTTGTGTTTTCAATAGTGACTTTGCGGAACATGAACAGCCATGGGATAGAACGTACAGACATGATGGAGGTACAATTTCTCGTGAGACATCATTTATGTTTTTTAATACATGATGTAATATAATTTATGATATGATATGATATGACCTTTCTGAACTTTTGATTTCTACAAGGTGGGCCCCAGTTCAGGTTCACGCTAAGTTGGTTTAGAACTTCCCAAAATCTGTTGGGTTTATGGTAGATATATGTATATTTATATATATATAGTATCTACATGTAACTACAGCATTCTATGGTTGAAAGGGGTTTATAAACCAGTTTATAACTAGATAACTAGGCTCCTCCCTTGTAAGGCCAATCAATTCAAACTGCTTAAACACGACTTGTATCGGCACCCAGGTACCCCTCACCTGATTTCGATAAGCTCCATATAGTCTTGCTACCTGGCAAGACTGGGACCAGGCTGACGAGCAGTTTTAAATAAAGGTTTATTCTATAGACACCACATATTTAATTCATTTTATAATATATATATATATATAATATACATATAATTAATATAATATTATTAATAATAATATTATTAATAATAATATTAAAATTAATATACGAGACAATTATAAACATATTTAATAGTCCCCGTCCATTCCGTGTGAAGGCCTGTTTTCTTCTATCATTTTGTTTGGTCGTCAGGCTTTTGGCGTCCTCACACATTCCAACGGTGCGAGGCCCGCAATGACCTCACCCTGACCCACGGGAATGATGGTGAATTTATAGGGAAATCACCCCTAAAGGGAATGAAGTAAGGCTATTTAGGGAATCATTGAAATATTTCTAGCTGAATATGAAGTAACTATTTATGAAGACCTATATTCAGGTCTTTGAATCATTGAAAATCTCGAGTTCACTTGCATTTTCTTGGCCGAACGAAGACTATCTATTCAGTTTGCCTTGTGCAACTGCGAACCACGTTCCAGTGAGTTTCCTGCAACAAATTCTTGGGGAATTGGCCAAAGCCATCATAAATTGTTGAAGACCTACAAGATATGTAAGATGGCAAAACATATCAACGCATACTCTTGATTATGTAATGTAATCTTAAATCCGATCCTTGATAGTAATTTGTTTGCATACCCCATGGCATTGGTTATATCATGTTATATATATATATGGACTTCCAACTGCAACTGGGGACTTTGCAATCAGCATCTGGGGTCTTGATTCGGGCGTCCACCCGTGGCCAGTAGGGCTCAGCATTGAGCATTTGTTTTCCTTGCCGCGCCATCGATGGTGGCGTGGTGCTTCTGCTCTTCCGATGAAGAGGTGGCCGAGGAGGGCAACAACTTGCATCTAGATTGGATCTTGAATGTTCTTGTAACTTTTTGGCTGTTGTCTAGATGTGCCTCCATGCCTTGACAGGAGAAGTTGATATCCCTATCAGTGGAGCATCTACTGTGGAGAGAAAATACGTCAAGATGCGGGTCACTCATCAAAACTCTTACCACAAAACTTACACAAACATTGGCTCTTATTATCCAAACAGTTTTCATGCCCAGCGTTTTCACAACTCAGGTTTGGATTGGTGGTTCAGAAACTGGAGCCAACCCTTTCCTTATGCTTCTGACTGCTGCTTGGCAACATTGGAACCTTGGTCCACCAAAATTGGTGTTGTAACAACCATGTCACCGTGAATTCAGGTTCTGGGATGGACACCCCGTTGACTGCCTTGAAGTTGCTGCTCCCCACTGCCAAGCAACCCTTGCTCACTTACATGCCTCTCAGACCCAAACTAGATTGCAGCGGACTTGTGCACTGCTTTTTCTCGATGTGGCACATAACTTTGATGTGCCGCGTCGTTGGCACTGCAGTTGCCGAGGTCAAACAGCGAGCGGGATTCGACAGCCAGGAGGTATTTGGAGATCAACCACCCAAAGCCTTCACATGGGCACCTTGCCTGCGTTTTTCTTAGGGAGGCGTGCAGCACATTTAGATCTTTTCTCGTCAGTTTCAAACACTGAGATCCCATGATGATATCTTCAATACCAACTATGGCCGACTTCGGCGCAAGGCGAGCACTTAGGGTGAATTTGACAGATTGCGTTCCATGACACAGGCCGTCATCTATTCACCAAGGGTGGACCCACAATTGACCCATAAGTATAATATGTATCATAATGAATCCAAATATATCCCAATTATATTCAATTACTTTTCAGACCAATCTTTTTGGGATGGGTGAATTGAGGGTCTAGGAATATCCGTCCAAAGTGTTTGTGTGAAACCAAAGCCCATGCTTGGGAGGTCCTATTATATGGAGCTGGCTTCCCTTGCACTCCATTCAGCTCACTGCATTGGCAATCACTTCTCTTACAAGAGGCAGCTGCTAAACCAATGTACCGGGTGTTGGATAACTTGGCGGCTTGCGCAGCCCCAGCTCCTTGACTAATATGTAAAAACCACGTTTATCAAAAAAACTTATCCGGCATCCTTGTTTCCAAGTTGGAAAGACACCCTTTTGAAACTTTGAGGTTGGCATTCTGGAGAACGTCCAAGGATTCAAAAAGGTGAAATGTGAGTTTGAGAAGCTTTTGGCGGAGAAGCTGCCTGGGTACCATGATTCAGAATAATAATTATTGTTACATGTTTGTTGGAGACGCTTGACGCATGTGAACTTGACGTCTTCATGTCCCTTTGTTTCTTGAATTCAGGTATCAATGCGCCTATTTGGATCTCAATGCGTGTCTTGGTAGTTTGGCCTCGTTCGAATAGAGAATCTGAATAAGCCCATCTGAGTAATCTACAATTCAGAATAAACACACTCAACGCCTGTGCCAAGGAAAGATTACGGCCACCCAGTGAGTCGCAATCGGCTGTACATCGTGTTGGTGAAGTGTGACTTGATGGTCAGTGGTGCAAAATCCGATTTCGTTGGTTTCTGCGCTGAAATCTGCAATGGGCTCAAACACAGCTCTGATGTGGATTGGTTCCTTTGTCTAAAATTATCTCAACCGATGGCCTATGAAAAATCAGAATCATGACATGAAATTTGGGATTCATAATTATCCTTGAACTTGAGGAGCGATCTCCTGCTGGAAAAGGGTCATCCGTTGGTCCAAGAGGTCATGGAAAAGCGGTCCCGCAAGAGGAAAAGAATGTTCTTTGTCAAGCCCCTTGGCTTTTGAATGGTGTCTTACTCAACCCACTACAATTAAATTGGCAACAAGTTGATTTCGACCTCATTAAGGCGAGATCCCGGCTTTGGCAACAAATGGAAATCTGCCCACAAGGTTTGGGCGAAGCAAAACAAAGTCAAGGCCATACTCAAATAACGAGCAGTAATGAATGTCGATGGCATGAGACTACAGGATTTTCCCTAAGCTGTGTGTGCAGCCCATTTTCCAGGTGAAGTCGGCAAAAGATACGTTTCGCTCGAAACACCCAGCTGGTCTCGATCAAATCACCACGCCAAGAGAGTTACAGGCCTGATATTTACTGAGATGATATATGTTGCTATGTGACACATCCTCTGCATGACAAATTTATATAGTGTGATTTACTTATCATGCAACGTGTCAGGCAATGGACTTGCTGTTCAAAAAGCATGGCAATATTGCTGCCGTCAACACCAGTCAAGCAATCCACCGAATGGGTCCAGTGATGGGGGAGGCAGCACTTCCTTGCTTAACGCCTTGCTCTTAGTTTGATTTATAGATCGGTTCATATTCAACTTGGAAATAGGAAACTGTTCATTCCATGTTGCTCTTAAGGCCCAACGGAAAATATTTCATCGGATGCCAGAGTCGATATTTGACAGGTAACCCAGCTGAACTTCAGTAGCTCCAGCCCCACTTCAGCACAGCCAGCCGCCAGTCGCCACTCAGGTGTCGAAGCCTTGATCCTCCACGGGATGCCGGTGGATGCTATCCACACAGAGAGCTTCAGTGACCGGGATTCTTGCTAGCAAACAGGTTGGTTTCTATCATTAGCAAAGGGCACATAACCTGATTGGATTAGAAATTCTCAATCTAAGGAGCTATTTCAACTGGCAGGGAATGGGATGGCGATGCGTTGCGTGATGGTAGCCATAGCAGTGGCACTGAAAAGTGTGAATCCACACCTTGTCAAAAATTACATGCGCCAATAGGTGTACAGCTCGAAAGACCACACTGGAAACAAGGGAAAGGATGAAAACGCATGCGTTTTCTTAGCTTGAGTTTTTCAAGTGTCAGCACCAGAACTTGGCCAATCTCTATGGATATGAGTATTATTTCAATTTTTTACTGTCATAATCAATCCAGTTCCATTCAGTTTCACGAAAAATGAATTTCAAAAGAGTTTTGAAGGTGAATCCATCCGAATTTTGAATCCATTCATTTGGCATTTGTTCAATTCAAGACCGGACTCTTCCCCGGTTCGCTGTGGGCACATGCCCGTCCTTCACCGGTATGATGATGATGCGGACCAGTTGTTGCAGCCTTCGAAGGGCATATGGCGATACGATGAGACTTCGGATGAACCTGAGAAACTTAGCTGAGTATATCTCACCGGATTGCGGAATCAACAATCAGTTTTACCACAGAGTGTTACAGTTCAAAAACCTAGGACGGAAGGATCAGAGTCCACTGGCTCGTCCGATTCAGATGATCCCAGCTCTGAGTCTGAGTGTCCACATGGCAATCTAGTCGACTTGAGGCTTGCTACTCTCAATTCTTTGCACACCTTGAATGAGAATAGCGATGCTCCAGTTTTCTCTTCTCATGGAATGGATCGAAAGAGAATTACCGATGTTCTGAACAACCCACCTTGCGAGTGCCGATGCTGGCTCCCTGCCAAAGTTCTGGAAAACGCCTGCAAGGGCTTTTGGAGCCTTCCAAAGCAAAGTCAGGATGCCCTACTGTGGAGCCTTCAGGCTCAGAAGGGTTCTACCAAAAGGACGTGGAGCATTGAAGGACCCCAAATGCTGTCGTACTGATTCCTTGTTTCCATGGATACCATGTGATCCTACTTTGGCTTTTGCTCCCTAGGATTCCCACTGTGCCGTTTGGCATGGACCCGGTATCTAGGGGTTGGCAAGCAACGGCTGGATCGATGCAAAAGAGCTTTTCATGGGATCGACGACCGGACAATCAGTCAAGGATTTCTGGCAGCAGAAAGGGTGAAAAAAAAACAAAAAAAAAACAAAATAGTTTAGCCTAGCTGCTGTTACTTGCTGATTCCAATATTGTTTCACAATGTGACAACAAATCAACAAAGACCAAGGTGAAACCACGCGTGCTGCTGCCCAAACTGCATCAGCGAACGCCTTCCTGGGGCACCTCTACTACACAGCTGCAGAGTCAATGCCGACACGGTTGCCTTTCTGAATTCTATTGTGGGTGTTTTTCATCTGTGCATCTTATGAATCTTATGGTATGGAAGTAGCTTCAAAGCCACCAGCTGGCGTTTGTTTTCTCGACACGAGTCTAAGGTTTTCAGCTTCTTCCGACGCCGCGTTTGATCGACAGGATGAAGAGTTGAGACAAGACCTGTTGAAGAAGCTGATCAGCAGAAAATTGAGTGGACCGACCTTAGAGGTCACAGATTCCGACCCTTCGCGTCTTCCCGTTCGGGAACTCCCTCCCGGGAATGTATCATGTTTGTATTTGATGTATGTTGGTTGGACATCCATTGCCCCTGCTGGGTCATCCACCGCTGCCTGTAAGTCGACATTCTATGGAGCTTGGAAGCGTTGGTCCAACTGCCTCCGATTCCGCAGACGGAGTGAGCACGCAATGTGCGTCGTATGCCAGAAGTTAAAAGCACAGATTCATGCCTCAAAAGATCGGATCTTAGTTGCTCATTTTTTCGATTAGATCATGGTCACCATGGCCGATACACATTCAAGTGCATCCATCCTCCCAGCAGTTCAGAAATCCAAGGCTTCTTGGAGAGCATCACAGCATACCAAAACTTGACGCCTCTTGCCCTGAGGATTTCCAGGAGCATGCGAATCTTTGCAGTCGCCTCTTGACCCACTACAGTGACCAATACCGGGACCGCATGGTCTACTGGACGGCGCGAGAGAGGAGCGCCAATGAAGGGGACATGTTGACGCTGATCATCGATAGTTTCGATCGCAGCAAATTGGCCCTGCCTATGTGGCCTCTAGGTAGAACGCCGAAGCGTACACTGTACGAGACGGTCCAGCGACACTCATTCTTTTTACTGGGGTGGGAGTTCTGAGTGTCAGATTTCCCTTGATTTTTTTGATTTTAATGAATATCCAAGGAGCCAACTTGGTGCTCACTGCTGTCCTTTGTCACGGTCATGGGCTGTTTCTCTTCTTAACTGCCCGTGAAGGGATGAGTGCTGGAAGCGATTGGAACTGGGAATGTGTCTCTTGCCAAAAAATGAAATTGGGGATCAGTGGGCGAGGTTTTGGCATGTTTTTGTTGATCTACTTTCACAGCAGGTTCATACACTTAGCTGGCTTCCCAGGTGATGAGAGCACTGGAAGGTGTGCATACCAGAACCAGAGCTCAGAATGCCCGATGGCCAGACGAGTTTCTTGGTTCAAAAGTATGTCATGCTGACTTGCTGAGTTCCTGCTATGCAGATGATATCTGAGGTTATGGTTGCAAAGCGACAACACCGTCAAGGAGATCCGCAACCAATATGGATGCAAGATGCTTGCATGCATGTCTCAGGCCGGCCTGTGGGGGGTGGCTTCATGCCACCACCTGCAGGTCGGCCACACCCACGAAGACATAGATGCTGTCTTTTCCCTTATCGCTGTAGCCTTGCGCACTTGCCAATCCCAGTGTATGCAGACACCCATGGATGTGGTAAAACGTATTGAATCCAAGATCGGTCACCTTTGGACAAAGAAAGGGCTTCACTTTTCCATTGAGTTGGTGGACACTGTAACAAGGATTCGTTTTGAAGTTTGGAATTGGAACATTTTTTTTCACCATCTCACTATGTTTACCTTCCTTGAACTTGCAGACAGCGCGTGCTCACCCATTCTATCTTCCAAGGTACGGGATTGGGTTGCCATCCTCCCTGCTGGCGTGACTTTCAAGAACGCATTCAGAGCCAGGAAATGGGCTGGCAATGAGGATCAAGCGCCATTGCCGCAATCATTTTCCTTCATGCCAAGAGCAGGCAAGGTTTAAGATCCTGTTTTTGATTGCCTGGACCTTTCACCCTTTGGCTGTTTCACCACCCAAGCCAGACTGGCTAATTTAGATTTATTTCCGCTCGCAGGTCTCCCCGACCAAGGGAATAGCCTGGAGATGAGTGATCGAGTTCCACGGGCTTTGAGAGCAGACGATGCTATGGATGACATGTTCTGCATGATCAAGGAGAAAATGGCCAGTGATGGTTTGTGCCAGGCTCCTTTGCTAGTTCTGCCCGGGTCTTTTCTTCAGCAGAGCAAAGAAATGCTGAGACGTGCCAATGACCGTTCCTGCCCCCTTCAATCCTGCCACCTTGATGATGAAAGGCGGCAAGAACTTCGGATGTTGAAAGTTGCCATTGGTAGGGATTTTCCAAGTCTTTCAAGAACCTTGGCATTCTATGAAACCATGATATCAGATACGCGCTGCAGTGGGACAGTCCCGCCACTTACTTTCTTGCGCCGTGCCAACACGGATCAACGGCGCGATTTGGGGCAAATGGGGTTAGGCCAAAGGCCAAGGACTCCGAAGCCATATGAGCTCCAGGTCACTTTTCACCGAGCTCGTGTGTGAGGCTTCGATTTGGGGAAAATGATCTTCAGAATAATCTCAACAAGTTTTGATGTGGCCAAGACTGGCAGATGCAAATGCCACTTTCCATTTGGTTTGTTTGTCATTAGAATCTTCGGCTCAACCAGTTGGCTGTGAAGATGGAGTCTGAGCCAGAAGGCCAAGCCTCTGGCCCCATCGAGCAACTTCGGGCCTACTTTGACAGTGTTTCTCAATTTCACTTTAAGTGCCACCAACTTGACGCAGTTTGCATCATCTTAGATTCAAATGCGTGCTATTGCGTGTTCACCATGTTTAGCCAAGGTTGTGGCCAACAAGAATGTTGGACAGCATTTGGCAGATGTTTTTCACGATAGGGACAAGATGTTGCAAGTTTGGGCCTCAAAATGTCAGCGGAGGATACAGGGATTGATGAATGGGAACGCCACCCAATTTTTTGTATTTCCTCTTGGTTAGGGCCATGGCATGTGCCCAGGCCATTGAAGAACTGGTCGAACGCAACCCGCATGCCAAGTTCGACAGGTCCGGTCCTTCCTGACCCTGACGCCCAATGAGAGCATGGAGGAGTTTTGGCTGCCCCTAAGAGCGTTCGACTACAGTGAGAAGGGAAAGAACGGATGTGCGGGATTTGGAGAAATTCCGAAAATTTGTTTTGCAAATGGGATTGGGGTTAGTTTGAGCAGTTTTGAAGCTTTAACCTTTTCAATGACACTGAGACCCTGCAGATTTTCCTTCGAACACGCAGATGCAGATTCACTTTCCTGAATTCTTGCAGCATGGCTACAAGAGCTCCATTGGCAACATCGAGTGCAAGTTTCCCCACCGCGACAGCACTCGGGGCATTGGTCCGTTCAGCGTGGGCTGCACTGACGGCCACACCAAGGTTATCTTGATGATGACCGTGGTTGCAATGGTGAAGGAACTGGATTTCGGGGCAGAACAGCTGCAGGACAAGCACTTGGCCATGCCAGCTTTGCGCAGATTCGCTGCTCCTATGAACATTATAGCAACCCTGCTCACTTCTTCCTGCATTCCTTGAGAAGCTTGATGGTTTGTTTTACAAGAATTTACTTTTCTGTTGTCAGAAGTTTTTCCGTGTCTTGGGTCTTGTGCTCACTTTGGAATTTTCCCTCTGTCTCTGTCCACCCAGAAACTGGCTTTGTCTCGGCAGAGAAACAGGCCCCAAGCCCTGTGGAGTTGGTTGCTGAATTGTCACAGGCCGTGGATTTGCAGCGGCGCCAGAAACAGGCGCCCCTTCGTGATCTACTGAACAAGATCGTAGCTGAATACAATAAGATGGTGACCCAGAAAAAACACAGGCTGGACGCATGCAAGAAAGCCTTGGTCCTGAATTTGACCCTGTTACAAATTTAGCTGTATCATTTTAAGGTTTATTTTCTAATGGGCCTTTGGTTTTGTCACAAAGTCATTTGACTTGAATATTGAAACGCCCAGGATGAGATGCCCTCCCGATCTCATCAAGTTGCTTCATCGGCACTATGATCACTACAAAGCAGAAAATTCAGGACCTCATAAGTTGTGCAGTGTTCTCCTTCCACATTTTTCCCCATCTCCTATGTGTAGGCAAAATTAAGCAGCAACACGATATATTTTTCTATGTACGCAATGAAACCCAATGTGTGTCTTTATTCAAAAGCCTATCGTCCCTGAACAGGAGTGCCTCACGAAGTGTTGCAGCACGACTTCTTTGTTCCTGGCAGTGTCAGCCGCCAGGAACATGAGCGCTATCGTGGAAAAGAGCTCTTCCGAGAGGTGCTGACTGTCACAGGTGAGAGTACCATGCTCTACTTTGGCAGGGTCATTCAGGACATCTTATCCTCAGAGTCACAACACTCATTTCAAATTGTAAGAGAATCCGCCTTGGGATCCCTTAAGGGTTTGTTTGCTTTTATTTGTTCCCCACCTGCCAGGTGAGGGTTGTTAGATTTGATCAGAGCTGTTCTCCTCTTCCTCCTTCTCCTCCTCCTCCTCCGCCTCCTCCTCTTCCTCCTCCTCCAGTTTCTCCTCGACCATGTCTGCATCACTTCCACGTCCACTTCCGCCTTCCCAACTCGTCGCCAATCTCTTCGCCAACTTCCGCGCGCAGTGGGCACTGCTGGACCTCAACTGCTGGCTTCCGATCTGAGTGGGCACGGCTGGACCTCAACCGCCAGGTTCTGAGCGCAGTGCGCACCGCTGGACAACCGCCAGGTTCTGAGCGCATTGGGCACCGCTGGACCTCAACTGCCGGCTTCCGAGCCCAGTGGGCACCGCTGGACTTCAACCTGGGACCTTCAGAGCTCAGTGGGCACCGCTGGACCTCAACCTGGGACCTTCCGAGCTCAGTGGGCACCGCTGGACCTCCACGGCCAGATAGAATGCCAGAAGATATGCCAGATAGAACGCCAGATAGAATGTCAGAAAGAATGCCAGAAGATACACCCGATAAAATGCCAGAAGATATGCCAGATAGAATGCCAGAAGATATGCCAGATAGAATGCCAGAAGGTATGCCAGATAAAGTGCCAGAATGTTTGCCAGATAGAATGCGAGAAGATTTGCCAGATAGAATGCCAGATAGAATGCCAGAAGATATGCCAGATAGAATGCCAGAAGGTATCCCAGATAGAATGTCAGATAGAATGCCAGATAGAGTGCCAGAAGATATGCCAGAACATATGCCAGAAGATATGCCAGGTAGAATGCCACAAGATATGCCAGATAGAATGCCAGAAGATATGCCAGATAAAATGCCAGAAGATATGCCAGATAGAATGCCAGAAGATATGCCAGATAGAATGCCAGAAGGTATGCCAGATAGAATGTCAGATAGAATGCCAGAAGGTATGCCAGATAAAGTGCCAGAATGTTTGCCAGATAGAATGCGAGAAGATTTGCCAGATAGAATGCCAGATAGAATGTCAGAAGATATGCCAGAAGATATGCCAGATAGAGTGCCAGAAGATATGCCAGAACCTATTGCAGAAGATATGCCAGGTAGAATTCCAGAAGATATGCCAGATAGAATGCCAGAAGATATGCCAGATAAAATACCAGAAGATATGTCAGATAGAATGCCAGAAGCTTTGCCAGTAACAAAACGTATAAATGTCATGGTGGGATAGCTCGAAGTAAAGTAATAAATGGTTTAGTTGGAAAGATTTCAACATGTCAACATGTCAACATCCATGCAGGACTTCACCCGAAAAGCATCCAGGGAAGCCACCACGAAAGCAAAGGACAGGGTTATGTCTGAATTTGTTCAGTTTCAATCCATCGGCACTTCTTGATTTGATCATTGTTTCACCCTGATCAGAAACAACATCAGCTGACAGACGAAGCGCAACTGCTGCTGTTTGACTGCTGCTGCCTATGGATGTGGGTCAGGGAAAAGATGGTTGGGACATTTCCCGGCCCCGTCCTGGAGCAACACGACAAGCTCTTTCAGGAAGGGTATCCTTCCTGCAATTTGTGAGTGGTGGTCGGGGTGTTTGG